CTGGTCAGCAAGTGTGTGGGTTTTCCACATCAAGAAATTTTGACTTAATTACATGGGGTTAGCTCAGACCCCCACACATCAAGGGTTCAGCCAAGGAGATTGCCCCCCCCCACCCCCAACACACACCAACTTCAGATGCCAATCACAGGTAGTAGATCCCTGTATGTCGTGGTACAAATCAGGAGTTCCCACAACCCCTTCCCCTGTTTCAATAATTTGCTATAACAGTTTACAGAACTCAGGCAAACATGTTTACCATTATAAAGGATATATAATAAAGGATCCAGACTACCAGCCAGATGAAGACATACACAGGGCAAGATCTGCCAGTGTCCTGAGTGCAGGAGCTTCTGTCCCTGTGTAACTGGGGTGTCCATATGGCTTCCTGGCATGTGGGTATGTTCACTGACCCAGAAGCTCTCTGAATCTCATATTTAGGGATTTTCATGGAGGTTCTGTCAAGTAAGCATGATGGATTATTAACTCAGTCTCCAATCCCTCTCTGGAGAAGGCAATGGCACCCCACTCCAGTACTCTTGCCTGGAAAATCCCATGGATGGAGGAGCCTGGTAGGCTGCAGTCCATGGGGTCACGAAGAGTCGGACACCACTGAGCAACTTCACTTTCACTTTTCACTTTCATGCATTGGAGAAGGAAATGGCAACCCACTCCAGTGTTCTTGCCTGGAGAATTCCAAGGACAGCGGAGCCTGGTGCGCTGCCGTCTACAGGGTCGCACAGAGTCAGACACGACTGAAGCGACTTAGCAGCAGCAGCAGCCAGTCCCTCTCTCTTCCCTGGAGGATGTAGGGTTAACAGTTTCAATCTTCTAATCTATACCTAGCCTTTCTGGTGATCAGCCCCTTTCCTGAAGCTACCCAGGAGTCCAAGAAGAGTCATCTCATTACCAGAAAATCCCAAGGGGTTGAGGAGCTCTGTGTCAGGAATTGGGATCAAAGACCAAATATTAGAACAAAAGATGTTCTTAGCACCAGTGTCACAAAGAGTTTTAGGAACTCTGTGTCAGTAACTGGGAAAGAGACCAAATATACATTTATTATGTCAGAGTCCACGCCATGGTCTCTGGCCATGGACCCCTTATAACAAACCAGTTATAAAAGTCAAGACACTGGCTGAAAGGCAGTGTTCTGTAGTAGTGATGGGCATTAGCTTTGAGTCCCAGCTTCCCCACCTAAGGGCTCAATGACCTTAGGAAAGTTTCTTTGCTCCTCTGAACCTCAATTTCTTCTTCTGTGAAATGAGAAAGATAATGGAATGTACCTTCCAGGCTTGTTGTGAAGATTAAATGAGATAATGTACTTAATGCACATAGAACAGCAGCTGGAACATTGGCAGACATTTGATCAGTGTCTCTCCCATTATTATTGTGACAGGGAAGGCACTTGCATGGGCACTCCTGTAGCTCCAGAGCACATTTCTTTCCCAACAAGCTGTGTTTAAGAGATTCCTAGAGACTTGCCAGTCAACTCCCTAAGCATCTTGCATTAGAGCAATAAGACCTTCTTTATTTAAAAAACATCCAAGAAGGCCGTGCCACAGTTTACTTGTTGGGCCTATGATTCTGTAGAATCTTCAAGTTATCTGCTATGCGTCTCAATAGGGGAAAAAAATGAATGACATAACAAAAGTCCTTATTTCTAATGTCTGTTACTAATGCTGTATAAAGACCGATATAATCTTTGACAAATACCTTTTAAAAATAAATCAGATTTTCCATCAGTACTTTCAGAAAAAAATGGAATACTCTCAATACTTCTTTCCTACTTCTGATTTCTGAGTTGAAATCTCTGAATTTGGAGGATTTAACACAAGAACAAGCCAAATGAATAGAAATGATCTAGGGTATACTATCAGGTAGCACAGAGAAGGACACACCTTATAACTGAAAGGAGAATGTGTGAATAATTGGGAAATGTTTAGTTAGAAATTCAAAACTTCGCTTGGTGGAGTCAGGTTGATGACTTCTGAGTTCTTCATTTCTGCTTGTTAAAGTACCTAATGTTTTTCTTCTCAGTATTTTCAAGATGAAGCTCCTGTTCCTGTCACCTATTCCAAACCCAGTTTCCCCAAGAATATAAGCAAAACTTTCTTATTCAAACTGCAGTCGGAGGAGTGGCAGACAAGAAGATGATAATCCCCAAACCTCAATATTTCTTTTCTTTGACTGCGAACTCATTATACAATAAATATTTCAGGTGGTTTTACTAAACAGCATCATAAGAATCTAGAGAGTATCATTATCAACCAGCCCAAGGAACTTTGCTTTGAATGGCCAAAGCCAGAAACAGACAGCAAAGTAGCAGAACTAATTGAGCTTGAACAGTTCTTTACCACTTTCCCTCAGAGGACCCAGACCAAGATGATAACTGGTCTTGGGACTGAGGCAGCACAAGCCACCCATTTTTTTCCTGTGGCAAAAAAATGGAGGATGCAGATTTGTGAAATGAAATAAAAAACAATTTCTCTCTGTTGTTTTACAGGATCAAAGGCAATAATTTTAAATTGCCAGAAGGTAGGGGAAAATCCTTATCATTCTTTTTTTTTTTTTACTTGAGGAAGCCCTTCTGGTAGCAGGAAAAGGTCATGGTAGGCTCAGTGTCTGAAAATCCAATATGGATTTCTTTTTTTTTTTCCATTTATTTTTATTAGTTGGAGGCTAATTATAATATTGCAGTGGTTTTTGCCATTCATTGACATGAATCAACCATGGATTTACATGTGTTCCCCATCCTGATACCCCCCTCCCACCTCCCTCCCCATCCCATCCCTTTGGGTCTCATTGGTTTTTTAATCAGCGTTTTTAACATTCAGGGGAAGACAAAATACCTAAAGCTATCAGCTTTGTTTTTTGTTATTGTTGGCAGTGATGTTGGAGATTTGTGTGGGACTTAGTTTCCAGTTAGTGGGATTATCATTTTCAAATGCATTGAAAGAAAACTCTTTAGCCCAAGAGGGAATGTGAAACAGAATTCAGACATACCACACCCCTGGGGCAAAGGTTGTTCAGTGTTCTTAACAAAATTTCCAACTTTAGGGTTGGGCCTTAAACCACTTGAATATCTTTCTGGAGATGTAGATTTCATCTAGTTTAGCATGTCCACTTACTCATACTCCCTATTATAACATGGAGAATAATGAGCAGAAGAAAGTCATACTGATTAACTTGTATATATATCAACCATAAGATTACTTCCAGCAAGGGAGCATATCCTTGTTTTCATAGGCTTTTCACTTTTCTCCCTGCTGCAACATGAAAATAGAATAAGAATCATTTGGCTTATGCAAGCTGTTTTGTAGGTGCCTTTTCCTGTAATGTCTTTGTAAATGTTTGATTTTTTCACATTATTATCGAGGAACTGGGCGACAGAAATTATTCTTAAATGAATTTTTTTCAAAAACAGCAAGTATGCCTAGAGAACACAATTTTAGAATTAGGAAAGTTAACCAAGGCAGAATCTGAATTTCAATTCTTAGACTAGAGAAAAAAAGTAAGAAATCTTTTCATTTGGCTAAGGGAACTTCATGGTATTTATGATTGTGGAATCTGTTTAGGCTGGAAGGGGCATAATAGATAAATCTTTCTGGATTAGTGCATGTAAATCATTTATAATGGGAAATAGTAAAGTAAAAATAGTAAAACAAAACAAAGCAAAACAGCTGTGGCTATTTTTTCTGACAGGAGAAAATAGTAGTATGTACATGGATTATAAGCATGACTGAGTCTTTCAGATTGAGTTGTCAGATAACCATGTAGCAGGGCCCCACAGCAGCACAGAGCTGTCAAAGTGACAGTGTAGGATAATGTAGTCTTAAAATCTTCTGAGTATGCCATTGTACAGTGTGTTAGTAGAGTGCAGTGCACAACCCAAGTGTCATACATGCTGGTCCTGAGTAAAGAAAAGGAGACTTTCACAGAATTTATATCTTCAGACTGCAAGTTTTCCATTAAATGCAGAGTATACAGAGATGAAGTAAAAGTATCTTTATCTATAGACATGGTGATAAAATGTCAAAACACAAGAGTTAAGGAGAAAATTCCAGAAACAGAAAAGTTCTTTGCAAAGAAATAGAAATAAAGTTATGTCAGAGTTCTCATTTGGACAACTTTGGATATAAGAAGACAATGAATTGGTATTTTTTAAAATCTAGGCAAAATAATTTTGAAACTAAAATTCTATATCCAACGAAACTATCGTCTAAGTGTGGATTGACTTTTCAGGCCCTCCCTGAAAGAATTTCTAGAATCATACTGCAAGAATAAGAAAAGATTCTAAGAGGAAGATATGAGATACCTGAAGGGGGCCATGTGCCAGTAAAATGTATTGCTAAGTCTAAGTTCTAGAAAAATTTCTTTAAGGTTTAGAATACTTGCTGTTTATTCATCCATCTAATTTCATTATTGAATGTCTTTATAGAGAAATTAGAAATCAGGTGATAGGAGAGAGATGAAAAAAATGAATCAGAAACGGCTCAACTAACAAAGGAATATAACACATATACTAAATTAGCTGTAATAAAAATTTAAAAAGAAATGTGCTATAAAAGATAGATACAAAGTGGTGCTGTGGTAAAAGAATCTGTGTTTTGCCCAAAGTTTAAACTTTGTCTCAGGTTTGAAGGATTTGTTAACAAAAGAAACCACTTGTCATACACAAATAATTTCAATATTTAATAGAGAATTATCTAACTTACTTTCAATAAACAATCATTAAAAGGAAAGAGAAACAAAACAGCAGATACATAACCAAATTGGGTTTTTACAAACATCCAGACTCAAACAGCGCTGGGAAGTCCCATGTAACAGCAGCAATCTGAAACCCCAATTGGGAAAAGGTCCTAGGCAGTGTCCACTCCACAGGTGAGACTTCGAAATTGTAGTTTGGGGGTTTCTGTTTATAATCCCAGGCTGCAAACTGGTATCATATTCCATCTGTGAGCAAACTGCAGCTCTGGTATCACGTTAATCTTTCACAATGCTGTATGTTTTATCTTGTGAGTGTTGATACTCTCTGGCCTGGGAGACTGGATCTCCAGAGCTCAGGAGAATTCCAAGATTCACTCCCTATCTTATCTCTGATGCTGCCCAGCGGGCTGGTAACAGCCAGTGTATGTGCAAGGCAGGCAAGTCAGGGGGCAAGTCAGAGGCCTGCTCTGCTTTCTTTGTTTCTGAAGCCTGAAAAAGACCACTTCCCTAACAGTGCCTGCAGTGCAGGAGACATAAGAGATTCGGGTTCAATCCCTGAATTGGGAAGATCGCCTGGAATAGGAAAGGGCAACCCGTTCCAGTCTTCTTACCTGGAAAATCCCATGGGCAGAGCATGGAGGGCTACAGTGTAGGGTTGAAAAGAGTTGCATGTGGGGTCAGTTGTGAGGTTAGAGGTACAGGTGACGCTGTTTGTGATATCCTGGATCACACGAGAAGCGTTAACTTATTTTACCCACCATGTGTGTATTGAAATCTCCCTCTGTTTTGATTACTGATTCAAGTTTGGATTTTAAGATTTTTGTTTAGGTAACTCTGTGATTACACAGTTTTTTACATTTATGGTCTCTCCTCCACATTTTATCTACTATTTTAAAGAAACAAGAGTTCAAAACCATTAGTGACCTCAAATATAGATTCTTTTGGTCTAGATCCTAAAAATTAAAAAGAAAATCTGGACTTCAAATTCCAGATGATATTGACATGGTGGGGGGTGAGAATGAAGAGAAATAAAACAAGCTAACTAATATTTATGTTATACTCAGGAGGAGGATATAGATTATTATTCTAGAAGTTAGAAAAGTGTAAGTTTAAATACACCTGTACATACAAAATGTATATGTATAAAAGTTGACTTATAAAGTACTAAAAGTACTAAATATATAGTACTAAATATTTAATATTCAGAAAAACGGAAATCCATTAAGCAGTGATCAAACCAGTCAATCCTAAAGGAAATAAACCCTGAATATTCACTGGAAGGACTGATGCTAAAGGTGAAGTTTCAATACTTTGGCCACCTGATGTGAAGAGCCGACTGATTGGAAAAGACCCTGATGCTGGGAAAGACTGAGGGCAGGAAGAGAAGGGGGCGACAGAGGATGCAGTGGTTGGATGGCATCACTGAGTCAATGGAAAAGAGTTTGAGCAAATTCTGGGAGATAGTGAAGGATAGAGAAGTCTGGCATGCTGCAGTTCATGGGGTTGCAAAGAGTCAGACAGGACTTAGCAATTGAACAACAACAAGAACAACAAGAACTATTCGTTTGCACTTGAAAGGTGACTGTAGGAAGAAAACTTCCAGTTGAAAATGAAACCCATTTGCTAATTGTGTGTGTGTGTGGGGGGGGTTGGGGGGGGGTGGGGACGACAAAGCTTTTAAATTATACAATGTAAAAAAATTGTTTGCACCTAATACAGGTACACACACGTGCATATCCTCATGAGTGCATACACAAAGATTTAAAATAAGTCAACAATCAAGTGTTAATTATGTTAGTATAGATACATCTTTCTCAGGAATTAAGACTAAGTCAACAAAAACTTATTGAAGATACAGAGGATTTGAAGAGCATAGTTAACAAGATCAATCATAAGTGTACTACACCTGCATCATTTTTATCCGAGTACATTATATTGAAATTTACATGCAAAACTGATTAGAAACTGACCATGTGTGAGATGACAAATGAAAACTCAACAAGTGCTGAGAAAACTGAAGCCATACAAGATATATTTGCTAATCATAATGCAATGAAATTACTAAAAATACGATCCTTGATCTATACTGTTGGGGAAAAGCAAATAGTTAAAGAAGATATCAAAATAAAAATTATATACTCCTTAGAAATAAAGTGAACATTACATATTAAAACCTATATGAAGAGGTCAGAGGAAAATTCAGAGCTTTAAAATGCATTTATGAGAAAATAAGAACTATTAAAAACAATGAATTAAAAGCTGTTAAAAGCTAATAAAGACTAGAGCTAATCAACGAATACAGTAAAGTTGCAGGGTATAAAATTAACACACAGAAATCTCTTGCATTCCTATACACTAACAATGAGAAAACAGAAAGAGAAATTAAGGAAACAATACCATTCACCATTGCAACAAAAAGAATAAAATACTTAGGAGTATATCTACCTAAAGAAACAAAAGACCTATACATAGAAAACTATAAAACACTGATGAAAGAAATCAAAGAGGACACAAACAGATGGAGAAATATACCGTGTTCATGGATTGGAAGAATCAATATTGTCAAAATGGCTATACTACCCAAAGCAATCTATAGAGTCAATGCAATCCCTATCAAACTACCAACGGTATTTTTCACAGAACTAGAACAAATAATTTCACAATTTGTATGGAAATACAAAAAACCTCGAATAGCCCAAGTAACCTTGAGAAAGAAGAATGGAACTGGAGGAATCAACCTGCCTGACTTCAGACTATACTATAAAGCCACAGTCATCAAGACAGTATGGTACTGGCACAAAGACAAAAATATAGATCAATGGAACAGAATAGAAAGCCCAGAGATAAATCCACGAACCTATGGTCACCTTATCTTCGACAAAGGAGGCAAGGATATACAATGGAAAAAAAGACAACCTCTTTAACAAGTGGTGCTGGGAAAACTGGTCAACCACCTGTAAAAGAATGAAACTAGAACACTTTCTAACACCATACACAAAAATAAACTCAAGATGGATTAAAGATCTAAATGTAAGACCAGAAACTATAAAACTCCTAGAGAACATAGGCAAAACACTCTCCGACATAAATCACAGCAGGATCCTCTATGACCCACATCCCAGAATTTTAGAAACAAAAGCAAAAATAAACAAATGGGACCTAATGAAACTTAAAAGCTTTTGCACAACAAAGGAAACTATAAGCAAGGTGAAAAGACAGCCCTCAGATTGGGAGAAAATAATAGCAAACAAAGCAACAGACAAAGGATTAATCTCAAAAATATACAAGCAACTCCTCCAGCTCAACTCCAGAAAAATAAATGACCCAATCAAAAAATGGGCCAAAGAACTAAACAGACATTTCTCCAAGGAAGACATACAGATGGCAAAAAAACACATGAAAAGATGCTCAACATCACTCATTATCAGAGAAATGCAAATCAAAACCACAATGAGGTACCATTACACGCCAGTCAGGATGGCTGCTATCCAACAGTCTACAAGCAATAAATGCTGGAGAGGGTGTGGAGAAAAGGGAACCCTCTTACACTGTTGGTGGGAATGCAAATTAGTACAGCCACTATGGAAAACAGTGTGGAGATTTCTTAAAAAGCTGGAAATAGAACTGCCATATGACCCAGCAATCCCACTTCTGGGCATACACACCGAGGAAACCAGATATGAAAGAGACACGTGCACCCCAATGTTCATCACAGCACTGTTTATAATAGCCAGGGCATGGAAGCAACCTAGATGCCCATCAGCAGACGAATGGATGAGGAAGCTGTGGTACATATACACCATGGAATATTACTCAGCCATTAAAAAGAATTCATTTGAATCAGTTCTAATGAGATGGATGAAACTGGAGCCCATTATACAGAGCGAAGTAAGCCAGAAAGATAAAGATCATTACAGTATACTAACACATATATATCGAATTTAGAAAGATGGTAACGATAACCCTATATGCAGAACAGAAAAAGAGACTCAGATGTATAGAACAGACTTGTGGACTCTGTGGAAGAAGGCGAGGGTGGGATGTTTGAAGAGAACAGCATCGAAACATGTATATTATCTAGGGTGAAACAGATCACCAGCCCAGGTTGGATGCATGAGACAAGTGCTCGGGCCTGGTGCACTGGGAAGACCCAGAGGGATCGGGTGGAGAGGGAGGTGGGAGGGAGGACCGGGATGGGGAATACATGTAAATCCATGGCTAATTCATTTCAATGTATGACAAAAACCACTGCAATGTTGTAAAGTAATTAGCCTCCAACTAATAAAAATAAATAGAAAAAAAAGCTAATAAAGGAATAAACCCGAGAAAAGCAGAAAAAATAAATGAGGATAGAAATCAATGGAACAGACTTCCCCACTCCCCCAGAACAATTAATTAATTAAAACCATAATCTGGTTCTTTGAAAGAAAATTTAAAGTTACTCCTTTAATAAATTTAAGTTTGAAAGAAAAAGTACACAACTATCAGCAACATTCGATACAGAAGTATTAAAATGGTATGTATATTTTGGTATATAGATTCCTTCTCAGACTAGGAACCTCCTGTGTGTTCTGAAGCGGGCCTGGACTCTAGCAGAAGCTCCCGCGATCCCCAAATGAGTTTAGGGCCCTCCCTACAGGCTGGAAGGTGAGAAACAACTACTCTTCTCCACACCTGGTTGCCTGTTAAGCTCCATAACTGTGCTTAGGTCTAGCCATCGGGAATATAAGATAAGGGCCCAAGGGCTACGAAGCCTTCGTAAATCCAACTGGCCCTGGGTGTTGTTCCTGCTGAGACCGAAAGCGAAGGAAAAAAAACCCAACCTCCCTCTTCTCTCCCAGCCAGCTGCATTAGTTCCCTCTGGGGCCTTGTTCTCAGTCCCGGAAATGTCCTCCGGAAAAGACAGGCCTTGGATCCTTGAGGGAGAAGCTCCACAGTTCCCAAAAGTATTTGAGAGCAGCCTGTGACGCGCCTAGGGGTTCCCTGCCCAGCAGTCTGCACACTCTCCCGGCCGAGGGTCCCTTCCTGGCTCTTGATGGTGACGGAACCAGCAGGGAAGTCATCAGTGCTCCACTGGACAGCCGCCTCGTACTCTCCACCTGCTCCCTCCCTGCTGCCGCCGCCGACGCCAGCCGCCTTTTTCTTTAGGTCTCGCCCGGTGGCTAGCGCTCCTCCCCTTCCGGTGAACCCCGGACCAGGTTTCAGCCGAGGCCGCGGCCGCCCGCAAACTCTCGCGTGCCCCGCGCCTCCTGGCAACCCCCGCGCCAGACGGCCGCCGAGAGCGCGATCGCAACAGGCGGTCGGGGGTTGGCGCCGCCGCCGCTGGGCCAAAGAGCGGGACAAGGCCGTCCCTCTCCGCCGATCCGACCAGAGCTAATTTTTTGCACTGGCTGGCTCTGGGGAAGCAAATATTTGTCTTGGGACTTTGGGGAGAGGTTGCAGGACGCGTGCACCCTGCCAGCCTCTACGCCGCTCCATCCCCGAGCCCTGGCCCCCGTCTCTGGCGAGCTACGGTCGCGATGTGCCCAGGAGATCACAGGATGGCGCCAGCGGTCTGCCGAGGGATACCGTCGGAGCACGAAGACTCCTCCGCGTCAGTCCCAGAGCTACCGCTTTGGTCTGTCCTTCCAGTAGCCGGTTCTAGCAGGTAAGT